ATCAGCTATTGTAAACATTACACTTGGATAGAAAAATTTTCTCCTGGCAAGCCTTCTGACTGTATGTTAATATTTGCAGGTGAGGAAAAAGAAAATATGGCATTTATGTTTGGGCGTAAAGCCTAAGGCACGGTTAAGAAATCAGGAGGAAATATTTTTACTAGCTACATTCCATTTACCAAGTTAATTTTCATTTGTTATTCTCTTTCAGATATGTACATGTGATTGGAGAGTTTAGAGATTGAAAATTCTGACATTTTTTATTTCTTCATATCTGTAATCTGTAATTTTTCTAAAATGCATGTAATTGTTTGTAACACCTAACAGGCTAAAGAATGTAATAAAAAAAAGGAAGACATTTGGTCACTAATCAAGAAACTCACAAATAACCTTTAATACACCCATGATGCATACCTCTCCCGTACCTCCAAACTGTCCCTCAATTTGAGGGACTGTCTCTTATTTGGAACCAAATCCCTCTGTCCCTAATTCCTCATCAATTGTCCCACATTTTCTGGTCAGATGTACAGATATCTATTAAAAGGTTCTATTTAACTGCCAAAAGTGTTAATTTTCAGTCAACCCGTCATCCTATCTCTTAATCACTTGCTACTTGCTTACACACATGATAAAATCTGATTTTTTTGCTAGAAAACCACTTAAACCCCCAAACAATGACATATTTTATGAAAGCAGAGGCCCTGTAGAATAGAAAAAATGCTAGTTGCAATTTTTTTATGTTGCACGGTATTTGCGCAACTGTTTATCAAACCAGTATTTTTAAGATAAAATACACTAAAATTAAATTTAGTGCACAGAAACAGAATATAATACCCAATTTTTTGGTAAAATATAAAAGATGGGGTCTGTGGGGTTAATAGATACCAAACATGTCAAGCCTTAAAATTGTGTTTGCCCGTGAAGCTGCAAAAAACATCAATACCCCAAATTTCCCATAGGGGACATTTTAAAAGCTTTTACCTCTCATCAGTTTAGTGGTAACAGTGATTGATGCCTCTAGAATTATTGCTCTCACTCTGACGTTTGCTGCAATATGTAACATGTGTAGCACAATTTTCGTTTGTGCACACAGACGCACCAATGCGTGTTTACGTATCTATGTGGAGGGTGAGGGACTTTTTTTTTGCTTTCTTTAAATTTTGTATATGCTACTTTCATCTTTTTTTCACTAACTTTATTGCTATCATGTAGGGGGCTAACAAGCCTCCTATGTAATAGCAGATGGGGTCTTTCAGAACCGCACTGTCCCCTAGGGACACCAAAGAAGCTGAGGAAACAGAGATATGCTACCCCAGCTTCTTCTTCTGGCTCTAAGCCAGAGAATGTAAACAGTGGCACCGGAAGTGGTGTAATACACATCGCTTCCGGGTCCAGTGATCGCAGGAGAGATCAGCAACTGGAAGCCTGCTGATCTCTCTCCAATCATTGTGCGGAGACCCACCGTGCCGGTCCCAGGCCTGCACGGGGGACAACGGAGCCCAGGGAAGCCAGCGGTGGTAGCGTAGGGGGCACCACCATCCGCCGATCGGTACAAATGATCCGGCAGCTGTATAGATGCCAGATTGCTTGCATCTTAACAGCCATCATTGGCAGCTTAAAATTACACCAAGAACACGGCTGCAGTATTAGCCGTGTTCCTGGTATAACCACTTCTGTGGCCCACCGTATATTTATGGCTACTAGCAGCAAGTGGTTAATGATCTTGTTTGCTATTTCCAAAAGCCATTGTAAAATACAGGTAAGGGTAAAAAAAAATCTGGGTTTAACCAATCATTTTTGCCATTTTAATTCCTTGTGGGAGTGGGAGTGTGGCAGAGGTGTGTCCATTTCCTAAATACATTGTGCGGGAATGTGTTCCTTCCCAAAAAGTTGGGAGGTATTCTCTCTGGGCCTAGATGATGTTGCAATTACTATGTCCAGTGTTCCTTTTCATATCATTCTGACATGACATGGATAGAAATTAAATGGCTTCTACCTTCTAAAGAATTGCAAAACAGTCCTCTAGGAGGAATAAAATGTATATAGGCAATCTATTCTCCTATACAGTAATGCACACATTTTTATTCATATACATATCATGATCTGATGAGAAAAATCATTGTTTTTAACAGTCAGATCTAGGTTGAATGTTAAAAAAAAGTCTGCGTACTACACTATTGAAATGTGTGTTCAATTATATTTATGGTTATTGATAACTCCTCAAGATGATTTTTTGGCTTCCCCTCAACTCCCCCACTCTCTCCCCCTTCCCCACCATCTTATAACTTATCGCTGGCATAAAAATAAAAAAACCTTATCCAAATGCCACTTTTATGCACGCGGAAATGGCACCAGTGAGAGACTCAGATAGCTGATTTGCTATGTTGCCAAAATATTTTAAAAATCTGCAGAATGAGTTCAAGGGCTTGAGAAGGAGGTGCGTGAGGTCATAATTTATGCCCAGTGATGGGCTTTAAAATGTGATCAAACCAAAAATACTAGCATTCCCAAAAGTAAATGTTATGTGATTACTAGGAACATTTGCAGATTACAAAGTTTTGTGAAATCTGTTCCAAACCTATGCCAGGCCATGCTTTCTAGTTTGTCCATGCCTATAGCAGGTGTGTATCTTCCAGATACCACTGTGCACTTTGGTAGGTGACAAACACAATCTGAATGAGTCATAGTAAAGTGTAGAAGAAACTTAAACATGTCACCTTTTCTTCTGCAAACAGGCTGTGGTTCATTTTCTAAGATTACCCCTATTCGGAAATACAAATCCACCTGGACTTTAATCTTTAAACTGATATTTCTATCCTGTAGTGTGTTCAGTGTGTTTCTACTGCTGGGTTTCAAACTTTATCAGTATTATATACTCAGATTGTATTTCTCAAACCATGCACAGCATGGTGGCCCATCCATATTCTTGTGAGGGACTATCTAGCATGTGTCCATGACAAGTCTATGGCAAGGTTAGTATTACATTTTAGAGAAACTCCTAGAATTTTCTTGCATTGGGAGTCTTGGCTATACCATGCACACTGTCTGACTCCTCTCCTGGCAGTTTACAATGAGAGTGAGTGATCTTGCTTAACCGGTAGGGTGAAAACACACGTTTGTGCTTTGAAACTAGTGCGATCATGCGCAACACATGCAAGTGAGCGTATTTGGTTTTAATGGTATTTGGTATTACTTATGCATATTTCTATTTATATACAGTATTTGCGCATATA